CAGTCCAGACACACTGACTGGACACTACAGGACATTAACACTGCACTGAGAGAGAGGGGTTAATACAGTCCAGACACACTGACTGGACACTCCAGGACATTAACACTGCACTGAGAGAGGGGTTTACATAGCACAGACACACTGAGTGACTAGGCACCACATTACTAATATTGTCTGTGTACATTAACACAGAGGGACAGGGAGATCAACACAGCACATTATGAAAGTCATTACGTATCTCACTCAGGGACAAACAGTGTCAAGGATAAAACCACAAACTGTGAACTACTGAACCAGTTCATTATTATTCCTGTATTACTTTGGTTACTATTCTAATACTGTATTGTTACCAATTTCATTACTTTGGACAAGTTTCAGTGTTTTATATCCTGCAGTGACACACACTGACCACAAGGTGGAGGGATGGAGCTGACCTTACATCAGTATAACGCAACCTTACATCATGCGCCTCTAAAATTAGCTGCAGCCAATTAGATTCGGAGTTCCAGACCAGCCTCTCTCTCTGTCTGCCAGTGTTTCTCCTCCCGTACCTCAGCTCTGACCTCTATCCTCAGCTGCCTCCCTCCCCCTTCTCTCTTCCCAGCATACAGAGGGTCAAATCAGGACGCCTGGCCCCCATGTCTGCCCGTATCTCTCTCTGCCTCTCACCAGTCCACAGCCCACTAGCCTGCACTTTTCAAAGCCCTCAAAGTCACTGACAAAGTCAATTCAGAATCAACAGTGAAACACTAATCAGAGGACACGAGTAGGAACTACAGGGAAGAGCATTTAAAACAACAGGAGAACAGGAGGCACTTCTGTACACAAAGGGTGGTGGGAGTGTGGAACAAGCTGCCCGGTCATAATGTGGAAGCTGAAGCCCTGGTTTCTTTCAATGAACGGCGTGTTCTTACGTCTTCTCTTTTTTAGTCCTTCTTCAACCTCTCCTGTCTCTCTTTTTCTCTACCTCTTACACAAATTCAGATAAAAAGAGCTGTATTTGCATTACCAATGAGTTACATTGTTGCCAAAGCAAATACAATTAAGACAACGTTTACTCACATTTACAGTGGAAACGTAATTTGACAATTGCACACATCACATAAAACATTATTGTGAAACAGGCTCACTGTCTGCTCCTCAGGCTGTGTCAAGAGATCACACACTGTATTACTATTGTTGTTGCTGTTCTTGTGAAACGGGCTCACTGTTCCTCAGGCTGTGACAGGAGATCCCATACTGAGCTGCAGCTCTATCGAGCTCCCTCCCCCAGTAGGATGGGAATCTGTGCCGATAATGGCAGGTGTTGGGAATTAATTCTGGGATTAGATTTATTTTAGGGAAGCATGTTTGTCTAGTGAGAAGAGTATTTCTCACAGTGCAACAGAAAGTGCATCTCAGTCTCTGCTTCTCCCTGCTGGCAGTGAGAGTAGAGCCTGCTCTCTGTGTCCAGTGTCTGTGTCCAGGCTGTGCTCACTGCGCCTGTCCCCTCTGGATAGTCAGGTCTGTCTGTGTACAGGCTGTGCTCACTAAGCCTGTCCTCTCTGGACAGTCAGGTCTGTCTGTGTCCAGTGTCCGTGTAAAGGCTGTGGTCACTGAGGCTGTCCTCTCTGGACAGTCAGGTCTGTCTTTGTCCAGTGTCTGTGTACAGGCCCTGGTCACTGAGCTTGTCCTCTCTGGACAGTCAGGTCTGTCTGTGTCCAGTGTCCGTGTACAGGCTGTGATCACTGATCTGTCCTCTCTGGACAGTCAGGTCTGTCTGTGTCCAGGCCCTGGTCACTGAGCCTGTCCTCTCTGGACAGTCTGGTCTGTCTGTGTCCAGGCCGTGGTCACTGAGCCTGTCCTCTCTGGTCAGTCAGGTCTGTCTGTGTCCAGTGTCCGTGTACAAGCTGTGCTCACTGAGCCTGTACTTCATCAGTACCTGTAGCACTGAGCCCGTAGCATTCCAGTGCGTGTTGTGTTTCTATGTGTTTTGTGGGGGATGTTTATGGGGAGTTGATATTGTAGATCCTTCTTCTAATGGAACAGAAAGCTATCTCTCTCCAACTTCCTCTCCCTCTCCCTTCCTTTCTCTCCCTTCTTCCTCTAGCAGGGAAGGAGGAAATGTGCCCAGCTCCCTACCAATCAGGCTCTTCAGACTGACTGCTCCAAACACAGCTGTGAAAATAATTACACCCCACATCAGCGTCTTTGTCTTGTATTGCAGGCTTGTGACCACGAGTCCTAAAAGCAGATAATGATACCGCACAGGCGCTGATGGCACAATGAAAATTAAGTATTGCAATTGAGGACGATAGTTTGAGGCACCACACAGACAACAGCATTAATTAGGAAATAATATATTGCTGGGTAATGCATTTATTCAGAGCATTCCTTCGTTGTGAATATGAGGGCGACTGCAAATATATTCCCATTTTCTATCTGCTTATCAGTTGATTCCCACCCCCAAAAAACTATTTTATCTGCATCTGGGACAGAAAACATCTGTGTTCTAAAACATAAGGCAGAGGAATCCACCGAAAAGGCAGCCATCTGATAAGAACCGTCCCCCAGGGCTGGAACACAGACCAGGACATTGGCTTCCCTCAGTTGGACATTCCCTTCCTGCCCCGAGGTCACTGTCCCAGTGGAGACGACACCTGATCCTAATCGGTCACCAGCTGTGATCTCCCGCCGTATATTCTGTGGGTTGGCTCACATCTGTCTGGACTCCTCTCACTGTGCCTCCTGTCCTGAACTGTGACACTGTCTGGATCACCTGCTCAACCCTCACCACCTTCCAGTTATTCAGAAAACGCATGTGTCCTGCTGGCCATGATATTTCTTTTTATCAGTCTGAGAGAAAGGAGAGAGGTAGAGAAAAAGATGGAAAAGGAAAAAAGGACTGGAGAGAGAGATGGGGGGGGGGCTGTCGACCCAGGCACAGATTCGGCCACACTTTCTCGTCATGCCGGCACAGCACGGCTGAATTCAAGAAACGGGCAAGCGAAGGTTCAAAAATCGGAAAGGAGAAACACTTGGCTCGGTTCCGCCTGCAGCAGCAGACGCATGCTGACGCACGTCCCGGCCCGGACAAACCTGAATGAAGCCCAGGGGAGGAGAGAGAAAGAGGGAGAGGTCGGAGGGAGGGAGGGAGGG